GGATGTGGGGGGCAGGGAAGGCCTCACTGGGAAGAGAACTTCTGAGTGGAGACAAGAAGGGGGTGAGGGCACGGGCCATGGGGGGACCGGGCAGGAGGAATAGCATGGCAAAGGCTCTGAGGCGGGCGTGAGCCTGGCTGCAGAATAGGCTGGGAGGGGGCTGGGGCTGGGGCCGGGGCCGGGGCCGGGGCTAGGTCCTGCAGGGCCTGTGGTAACCGTGGGGACTTTGTTCTGACTAAGTGGGAGCTATGGAGGATGCTGAGGAGAGGGGCACTCTGACTGCTCCATAGGGAATAAACAGTCAGAGTCCGGTCAGGAAGCTGTTGACTTAATTCAGAGGAAAGAGGGTGGGCTGCATCCCAGAGAGGAGGCCACAGGGCTCTGCTGTGGATATGCTTTGAAGAACAGCAGGCGTTGCTGATGGATTAGATGTGGGAATGGAAATACGGGGCCCCGGAGTAGCCAAGATGATTTCCCGAGTAACTGGAGGCAAAGGGAGGAGCTGCAGGAGGAGCCACGAGGGGACAGGTGACAGCAGGAGCTCAGCTTTGGGTGCGTGGCACCCAAGATGTCTATTAGCACCTCTTCCAAGTGGCACCACTGGGTGGACAGTTCTGGGCTGCACCAAGCCAGTGCGTCCCGAACACCGCCGGCCCCTGGTCTTCCACAGTTTCCATCATATCTATGTGCCACCTGTACTCTTATTTACTTATTTTTAATTTTTTTTAAAAAAATAGAACAGGATCCCACTACCCTGAGTGAGAGAAGCTCGCATTCCTTGCCCCAAATGGAAGGAAAATAGAACATGTGATCAAATATAAGCTAGTTCTGCTGCCTTCCTGGGGCTCCAAGCAGGTGGCCGGTTCCCTCCGTGTCAAAGTAGACGGTGTGCACGTGTTACAGAGACTCTCCTGGACTTTACCAGGAGTGAAAGGAGCCACTCTCCCCGCACTGGCGTCCCCGGTGGTTGGTGCTGTGACCCTGTGCCACTCTCACTGCTGCTGTGCCAGCCAAGGTCACCTCTGGGATGGCTAGGGGACCGATACGCCTAGAGTCCAAGGACTGTTCTGAGCCTTGCGCTAGCCAAGCGTTGATCAAGTACATGTGCACTTCCTTGTTCAGTGTCACCACCTCCCACGTGGCATAAACTGAATGTTTCCTAAAGTGACACCCAGCACCCATCTCTCCCATCAGACAAGCCTGGGTCTGAGTCCTCCCATCCCACTTCCCCAGCTGGCTCTGCGGCCTCGACCAGTCATTTCACTCCCTGCACCCCGTTCCTTCTTCTGGTAAATGAGCTGTTGGGAGGATTAAGTTAAACGATGTATGTCATGTGCCCAGCACAATGTACACAATCAACTTTCAGCCAATGACAGTCACCACGTTAATAATAAGAACGAATTCTATTGACATAGAAACTGCCCTCTACCCCACAAACAGGTTGGAGCTGATCAACAGCTAAGTTACATTAGGAATTGCAAAACCAAGGCCTTCAGGGACCAGGCAGATAATGTGTGTGAGACTATAGGGAGTGCTGGGGAGTGTGGCCAACTAGAGAGCATATGATCTGTTTAGTACTATTGAAAGTTAAATTTTTAAATCCCCTGCACAACACCCACATACACAGTACATCCATGGACACAAAGTAGCTTGGGCTCCTGAGTTATATGGAAACCCGAAGAGTAAGATGATTTTTTTGGTTATTTTAGCAGATATCTATTGAGCATCCATTATGTGCCAGGCACTGTTCTAGACTTGGGAATATGACAGTGAACAAAGCAGGCCCTTTTTGTTTAGTTGTGTGTGTTTTTTCTAATTGATTTTAGAGAGAGAGAAAAGGAGAGGGAGAGAATGATTGCTGAGAGAAAGAAACATAGATCAGCTGACTCCTGCATCCTCTACTGGGGATCAAGCCCACAACCCAGGCATGTGCCCTGAGTGGGAATTGAACCGGCTTGGGACTATGCTCAACCAACTGAGCCACACCGTCCAGGACAGGCCTGAATCCCTGCCCCCATGGAGCTGTTCCCGTGGTAGCCACAGGCAGCGTGCAAACAAGTGAACTAGAAGTGGCTTTCGGCCTGAGGGAAGTGAGGCAGGGAAGAGAGTGGGGAGGCCTGGGGGGGAAGGGCGACTTCAGTCCTGGGTCAGGGAAGGCCTCTCTGGGATGTCTGATGTTCGGTCAATAACCTGAAGGAGGCCAGGAGGGAGCATCCCAGGGGGAGGGCACTTCTCTGGCAAAAGCCATGAGGTGGGAAAGTGGCCGATATTCAAGCTTGGGCTTCTAGGGCGTGGCCTTGATACCTTAGTTGGTGGTAAAAGTTCGAGGTGGAAGGAATGGATTGGCCAGCAGAAGGCGGCCTGGGGCTGGTGAGGCCCCAGGGCTCTGCCAGACCCTGAGACAGGGACTCTGAGATCCCCACGCTCCATCAGGTTTCAGCAAGTTAGCACCAGCTGGTTGAGGGGGCCTCAGCTCACCTCCTCCAACCCCTTCAGAGGAAAACATCACACCTGGTGGAAAGCCTATTATTGCCCACCAGTTACAGCTGCGACCCCTGGGGACTTCTCACAAGGGCATGTGACCTTGATACAGATGCTCACACAGTCCCGGGCCTGACAATTCCTGTTCAGACACAAAGCAGGTCCTTTCCTCCACCCACCGGGAGCAACCTGGGCCAAGAGGCTCAGGAAACACACCTGGCTCCGGGAGGGTGTCCCTTATGAAACCGCCTCTGCACTGGGCTTGAAAGGGCAGGCTTTGCTGTTTTCCTGTCATTCGGGGCGTTTTACAGAGCACCAATGATACATTCCTGCTCTGTAATAGGGGGGGGGGGGGTAGACAGCACCTGGATCCCCTAGAACTCCCAGTCCAGGGGGAGAGGCGGATCATAACCACGCAAATCATTTCAGCAGAAGAGAAATGCACACTGGTGTGGCAGGAAGTAAGCAGGGTGGGGCTCCTTCAGATGGGGAAGAGGTGACTTCGATGCGGAGGTGACCTCTAAGTTGAGATCTAAATAATGGGACAAACCAACCAAAGTGAAATCTCAGAAAAAGTCTCAGGCAGAGCAAGTGTAAAGGTCCTGGGGCAGGGATGAGCTTCGAGCATTTGAGAAACAGTGAGGAGGCCAGTGCAGCAAGCTGAGCAAGGAGAAGGGAGGAGATGAGGTCAGACAAGCACTGGAAGTGGGTTGACCAGGGAGGGGGGGGGAGAGGGAGGGGGACTCAGACTCAGAGAGGTCTCAAAGAGTCTTAGGCCACAGGAAGAAATTGGCTTTTTTTTTTTTTTTTTTTTTTTTTTTGGTGAGTGCAATGGGAAGCTATTGGATGATTTTAAGCATGAAGACATATGATCTGTGTTTGCCTCAGGGAAGCTCTGGCTCTGTTTCTTTCTGTATTTGGCAGAAAGGTGGGTAAGAGCTGGGTAAATCTCCTTTTCATTCTTAGCCTTTAGGGACAGAGTGCGGAGGGGGTCTGACTGGTTGTTTTCAGGCCTCTAGGGGATTCTTGGTGCTTGGGACCAGCAGCTCCCCAGCAAGAACCGCAAATGCCTGGTAGATGCTATATTGCTTCCCTGCTGCTGTCCTAACAAATTTTCACAAACTGGGTGGCTTAAAACACCAAAAATTTACTCTCACAGTTCTGGAGACAGAAGTTAAAAACGAGGCTGCCAGCAGGGCTGTGTTCCTCCAAAGGCTCCGGGGAGAATCCTTCCCGGCTCTTTCGGCCTCTGGGGGCTCGGGACATCCGTGGCTTGTAGCCGCGTCCCTCTGCTCTCTGCCTCCATCTTCACGCCGCCGTTCGCTCTATGTCTGTGTCTTCCTGCTTCTGTCTCTTGTACGGACACTTGCCATTGGATTGAGGGCCCACCCGGGTAATCCAGGACGATTTCACCTCACGGTCCTGAGTGTATCTGCAAAGACCCTTTTTCCAAATTAGGTCACATTCACAGATTCCGGGCTTAGGATGTGGATGCATCTTAGAGAACGTGCCATCATTCAGTCCTACAGACCCTGCAAGCTGCAGGCAAACGGAAAAGAATGCGATGGCCATAGAAGGAAGAGAAATTCCACTATTTCCATTAAAGCTGCTAAGAGCTTGGGTCCCAGCCATAGTGTACAATTAGGCATCCACTCTTCACACATTTATTGAGCGCCTACTGTGTTGTCACACCCCGTGGGGGCATTGAGGATTGAGCACTGAGCAAGGGCATCGCAGGGACTGTGAAAGCACCTGCCCCCAGTAAGGTGCCCACACACGTTAGCTCCCTCTCCTCCTGCGTGCCGTCGTCTGCTGAACGCTTCATTGAGAAACAAGAATAGGCATGAATGGAACCACTGTACCTGGTGGTGTGTAATTAAGCCCTAATAACACATGCTGCTCGTGTAATAAGAGCTCAAGGGAATTAGGAACCAGAGTGACTCCAGAGGGCACTGGAAGAGGCTCCGCTGATGGGTGAGGTCTGGGGGGAGGTGGCTGATGTCGAGCATTTCGGCTGAGACGTATTCAGAGGTGAGCCAGGGGGTTGGCGTGACCAGATTTCAATAAGAGCAAACAATTCTTGGGAAGGTTCCAAACAAAACAAAGTGTAGTCTTCCCTCGGTTTACATAGCAGTTGCTTCCAAAGGGGGAAAAAAAATAGTATATATTAATACCCTGCAAAAAAAATCTTCTGTTTCTGTGTAAAACACAGTTCCATGCTAGGCTTAGGTAACTTATAAACAGGTTGTTACCTACACCCCATAAACGCCCGGGAGGACTGGGGACCAGGATGCCTCCTCATGGTGAAGGTCCGTCCCACAGTGCCTTGCTGGCCGCTGCCCACAAATGCCAGTAGTATCCATCGGCCCCGGGAGATTTCCAAAATGTGTTACCCTCCCCGGGAATGGGGGTGCCATCCGGCTGAGAGCCACTCAGCGCCGGTCCCTCATTGTTCCATGCCCTCCCGGGGGTGTGAGTTAGAACCCACCGGCGGCATCTCACCTCCCGCTCTGTTGCAGGTTCCATGCAGGTGATGAACAAGACGCGGCGCATCATGGAGCAGGGCGGGGCGCACTTCGTCAACGCCTTCGTGACCACGCCCATGTGCTGCCCCTCGAGGTCCTCCATCCTCACCGGGAAGTACGTGCACAACCATAACACCTACACCAACAACGAGAACTGCTCCTCGCCCTCCTGGCAGGCGCAGCACGAGAGCCGCACCTTTGCCGTGTACCTCAACAGCACTGGCTACCGGACAGGTGAGGGGGGCCTGCGGGCGGGTGGGGCCTCGGGAAGTGGCGCTGGTGGCCTGGCCTCGGAGTAGTGTCTCTCCGTGTTGCCCCTGTACGCCACCCTAGATGACTTTGGCTAATGCGTAGACAACTTTCTTTTCATTTAAAAGTTGTGCGTTTATGTCTATATGTATTAGATTGATCTGCCCATAGTAGTGATAGAAAGTGACCTTTTCAAAGGATTTTGAACTAAAAGAAAACCAGGGGTGGGGGGGGACTGCACTTAACATCTGAAATACAGTACAGAGAGAAGCCAGAAGTACCTGTGCATGAGTTTGTGGTCTCCGTCCGTTAATGATGTTGTTAAAGCCATCTGAGACTGATTTATTGACTTTAGACCCATGGTCAGCAAACTGCGGCTCGCAAGCCACATGCGGCTGTTTGGCCCCTTGAGTGTGGCTCTTCCACAAAACACCACGTGCGGGCGCACGAACAGTGCAATTGAAACTTCGTGGCCCATGCGCAGAAGTCGGTTTTCGGCCTGGGCGAGTCTATTTTGAAGAAGCACTGTTGATATTTGGCTCTGTTGACTAATGAGTTTGCCGACCACTGCTTTAGACCATTAGCATGGAAGAAGGTTCCAGAAGAACCTTGGGCTGGGGAATGGGGATAAAGCTGGTGTGCAGAATGGAGAGAAGTGTATGGTATGTGGGGATTGTGTGGCTGCTATAGAATGGCCCAGAAGTTGGCATGGCGATGGACTGTTGGTCCACATTTGACTGTCTGCCTCCTGGTGTTGCATCCCAGGTGAGACTGAGCAAGGCTTCCTGTTGACCTTGGCGGAGGTACTTTGGTGGGTTCTGAAGACTCACCTCCCCGGCCGGTTGCCTGAGGCAAAGACACAATTACAGTCCCTCACCTCCGACACCATTGCAAAATCCTCCACTCAATTAATTTGGTTTGCTTTAATTAATAATAAATACTCCCCCCCTGGGCTCCTTAGCCGAGGCAGTTGTGAAATCAGATGTTGTGGCCTGCATGTTGCAACTTCAGGAAGTCCTGTTGCAGTGAGCAGGCGATTGTGGGGCGGGAGTGGCAGGAGGGACGACGATGCCTCCCTCAGCTCGGGTCAGGGTCACAGCTTCCCTCGGTTACAGGGCGTGGCTGCGAGGACCCGTTGGGCTGGGGAGCGACCTGGTGAGGTGTCTTTTTGCAGACTCATTCCACAGCAGGAACCCCCCAGAGTGTGGGTCCTGCTGAGAGCACGAGGGAGGCCTCGATCCCGAACACATGACCGTGTTGGTCCTAGGTCTCTGCGGGAAGCCACGTGCGTTTACCGAGGCCCGCCACGCAGGTGTTGTGGGGACCTGGGTGTAGATGGAGGCAGCAGGACAGGGGGCACCAACTGAAAGGGCACCTGCCGCTCAAGTCCAGAAACAGCGGGTCCTCGAATAGCATGGTCTCATTCTGTGTCGTTTCATTAAAACCTTTTGCGATACCATAGGAGCTTAACTCTTGTTTATATCGATTAGCCTGTGGTAGAATTGGTTGCATTACACATTATTTCCCTTCAAGTTGCAGAACCTACCAATGACGTTCGTTAAGTGAGAACTACTCTAATTATAGCCATTTGTGTTAAGGGTTGCCAACCTTCAGATATGTCTACTCTGGATTTTTTGCTGAAATTTGCTGATTTAAAAAATGTTGGCAAAACTCCATGTAAACTGTGGGCCAAGCCAAACATGTCTGAGGACTGAGTGTGGCTCACAGACCCCTTTTTACAGCCTCTGGCTGGAAGGCCTGTGTGGAAACCGTTAGCTCTGGATGCCGGAAGAACAGGAAGGCCCCTAAAAGCGTTCTCAACTCCCCTCATTTGACAGCCTGGACAATGGCAACCCAGAAAGGGGTTTTGCCCAGACTCATAAAATGAGGTGCTGTGGCTTCATCAAAATGGAAACAGGGCCACGGGAATTTGAAGAGAGTATGGAACTTGCGTTCATCAAGTTGAAAGGAAACACGTACCCTGCCATACGGGGGCTCGTGGTGGGAGAATCGTACAGCTGGCGCATAGGAAGGAGCCCTCTCTTGAGAATATGCTTCAGAATTGATTTCCCAAACTTATCCTCAAATTTACACAAATCACCGAAAAGCTATTTCCCCAAAGTACGGATTTCATCAGACTGTGCTTAATTATCATATCCTCAGTGAAGACTGGAAGCATGTCAAATGTAAATTTCTGTACACAGAACATTTATGTGGTTTTTTTAAAAAAAACTGTCACCGAAAATATTATGTTATATTTAGAACGCCCCTATATACAAGGAACCCATTCCAACCTGACTTTCAGAACTAAGGATCCTGAAATGGTTTTTACTTTGAACTGGTATGCTCCTCGTCATTAAATAACAAGGGCTGTGTCCCCCGTATACTTTCCCTCTTGGCCCTGGCTGCGAGGAAGCTCAGATTGGAGTTTTATGTTAAGTTGCTGCTTCATATGAGAACATTTAAAGCTACTACTACCTAATATTAGTTATGTTGGTCATTGTTATTTGATTGAGAAAAATGACCCAAAAACCGTAAGTCCCCTCCCAAAACCAGTGGTTAATTGTTCTTGCTGGGTCTTGAGACACATTAAATCCTGCATTCTATGGGTGTCTGGGGGCAGTTGGTTGAGTTGGATTTAATTTTGTGTGAGAGAGATCCAAGATAGCAACTGTTTATTATTCTCTCAGTTAACAGTCCATGCTGCTTCGGTGAGCCTGCCCCACTCAAAGTCATGAATGGATCAGAGATTCAACCACTTCCATATTTTATTGAGATATAAATTGACATATAACTGAGATGTAATTAACAGAAGATGTAATTAGTTTCAGGTGTACAACATGATTCAATGTTTATATATATTGCAAAATAATAACCACAATACGTCTAGTTAGTATCTGTCACCATATGTGGTTACAAGATTTTTTGTGAGTGATGAGAACTTTTAATATCTACTCTCTTAGTTTTCAAATATGCAGTACAGTATTATTAACTGTGGTCACCATGCTACATATTACATCCTCATGGCTTGTACCTTTGACCCCTTTCACCCATTTCCTAACCCCCTGCCTTTGGCAACCACCAAACTGTTCTCTGTATCTATGAGCTCAATTATTTTTTAGATTCCACATGTAAGTGATATCATATGGTAATTGTCTTTCTCTGTCTGACTTATTTCACTTGGCATAATGCCCTCAAGTTCCATCCATCTTGTCTCAAATGGCAAAATGTTCTTCTCTTATGGCTGAATAATATTCCATTGTGTGTATGTGTATGTGTCTTTATCCATTCATCCATTGACGGACACAGGTTGTTTCCATGTCTTGGGTAAATAATGCTGCAACGAACACAAGGGTGCATATATCTTTTTGAGGTTGTGTTTTCATTTTCTTTGGATAACTGCTCAAAAGTGGAATTGCTGGATCGTATGGTAGCTCTATTGTTAATTTTTTGAAGAACTGCCATGGGGTTCTGTTTTTCCGTAGTGGCTGCACCAGTTTACATTCCCATAAACAGTGCAAAAGGGTTCCTTTTCCTCCACATTCTTGCTTGTTATTTCCTGTCTTTTTGATGGCCACCCTAACAGGTGTGAGGTGCTACCTCACTGTGGTTCTACATTTCCCTGATGATTAATGAGATTGAGCATCTTTTCATGTACCTGTTGGCCATCTGTACATGTTCTTCAGGGAAAAAAAATGTCTATTCAGATCCCCTGCCCATTTTTTAATGAGAATGTTTGTTTTTTTGCTATTGAGTTGTGTGAGTTCAAGTCTTTAATCCATTTTGAGTTATGTATGGTGTAAGATAGTGGTCCGGTTTCATTACTTTGCATGTGGCTGTCCAGTTTTCCTAACATCATTTATTAAAGAGACTGTCCTTTCCCTATTGTATATTCCTGGCTCCGTTGTCATAAATTAATTGACCATATGTGTGTGGGTTTATTTCTGGGCTGTGTATTCTGTTCCACTGATCTATGTCCCTGTTTTTATGCCAACTCCATACTGTTTTCATGATTGTAACTTCGTAATATACAAGGTGGGGCAACTGTAAACCTGCTTTGGCCCCACCCTGTATTTGGAATCGAGACAGAATGCTCCCAGCTTTGGTCTTCTTTCTCAAGATTGCTTTGGCCTTTCAAAGTCTGTGTGGGTACAACAAGTTTTAGGCTTGTTTGTTCTATTTCTGTGAAAAATGTCGTTGGAATGTTGATAGGGATTGCATGGAATCTGTGGATCACTTTGGGTAGTACGCACATTTTAACATCACTAATTCTTTCAATACCTGCGTGCATAATACCTTTCCATTTATTTGTGACTTCTTCGGTTTCTTTCATCAATCTCTTATACTAGTAGTTTTCAATGTAGAGGTCTTTTACCTCCTTGGTTAGATTCATTCCTAGGTATTTTATTCTTTCTCGTGTAGTAGTAAATGGAATTGTTTTCTTAATTTTTTAAAAAATTGATTTCAGAGAGGAAGGGAGAGATGGAAACATCAATTATGAAAGAGAATCATTGATTGGCTGCCTTCTGCATGCCCTACACTGGGGGTCAAGCCTGCAAACCGGGCATGTGCCCTGACCAGGAATCGAACTGTGATCATCTGTTCATAGGTCATTGCTTAACCACAATACGTGGTTTTCTTAATTTCTCTTCCTGATAGTTTGCTATTAGTGTACAGAAACACAGTGGATTTTTGCATATTGATTTTGTATCCTGCAACTTTACTGAATTTGTTTATTCTAACAATTTTTTGTAGACTTTGAATAGCCATTCTTTAGGGTTTTCTGTATATAATATCATATCTTCCAATAGTGACAGTTTGCTTCTTCCTTTTCATTTGGATGACTCTTCTTTTTCTTGCCTAATTACTCTGGCTAGGACTTTCAATACTATGTTGAATAAAAGTGGTAAGCATGGGCATCCTTGTCTCGTTACTGATCTTAGAGGAAAAGCTTTCAACGTTGAATATAATGTTAACTATGGGCT